CATAAATTTTAATAGTACTAACATCTTTATTTATGCTTCAAACTGCTGGTAAGTTATACTGAAGTAGAGGACTGGGGACAAATTTAATTATTTTAGCCTATCACTATTCAAATATTAACTGTTTTTGTTTTGTTTTGTTTTGTTTTGAGACATAGTCTCACTCTGTCGCCCAGGCTGGAGTGCAGTGGTACGATACCGGCACACTGCAACCTCCGCCTCCTGGGTTCACATGATTCTTCTCCCTCAGCCTCCTGAGTAGCTGGAATTACAGATGTGCACCACCACAACTAGGTGATTTTTGTATTTTTAGTAGAGACAGGGATTCCCCATGTTGGACAGGCTGGTCTTGAACTCCTAGCCTCATGTAATCTGCCTCCTCAGTCTCTCAAAGTGCTGGGATTACAGGTGTGAGCCACCAGACCCAGCCAATATTAACATTTTAAAATGTGATATTACAAAAAGTAAACTTAGTTGTTTTGTAAAAATGGATACCATAATGAGAAATAGGAAAAGACAGCATGATAAAAACTAATGGAAGAGAAAGGCTTAAGATAGTAAGTGTGGAATACTGAAGTTCAGTTAAAAGAGAACTAAAATAGGACAACAGACTTGGGAGTTTAAAAAAGTCCAGTACAACTCCAGTACAGGAGTTGGCCAGAATGCATTCTCATGAGGGTGAACAGAAGTAATTAAGTAGGTTATGGAGTTTAAGCTGTTATTTCAGGAATACTAGAAATAAATGGAAGAAAAGCTTTAATGGAAATATGCAGTGGAGTTTTCTTTTTTGGATACAGGAGACTTAAACATCTTTGTAGGCAAAGAAAGAAGTCAATGGAGATAAGCAATGTGGCAAGAGAATGAGATCCAAGAATAAGTGGAAGGATTAGCCTTGGAAAAGAGAAAAGTCACTTCCTATTTAGAGGAAAAAAAATTTTTTTTTTTTTCAGAGACGGATTTTCGCTCTTGTTACCCAGGCTGTAGTGCAATGCCGCGATCTCGGCTCACTGCAACCTCCGCCTCCTGGGTTCAGGCAATTCTCCTGCCTCAGCCTCCTGAGTAGCTGGGATTACAGGCACGCGCTACCATGCCCAGCTAATTTTTTGTATTTTTAGTAGAGATAGGGTTTCACCTTGTTGACCAGGATGGTCTCGATCTCTTGACCTCGTGATCCACCTACCTCGGGCTCCCAAAGTGCTGGGATTACAGGCGTGAGCCACCGCGCCCAGCCTAGAGAAAATTAAGAGACTAGAATGAACGGGGACTTTGATTATTTAAAAGTTCCTTTTTGACCTACTAGCCAAATAAAACAATTAAGGCAAAATAAAACAATTAAGGCCAAATAAAACAATTAAGGCCAAGTGACCTCAAAAACAATGAAATATCAATATCAACTGTGATTGTAATACTGATATTCCTATATTATTACTGTGAATTCTGCCATTAAAAAAACATGACCCAGCCAGCTGCAGTGGCTCATATCTGTAATCCCAGCACTTTGGGAGGCTGCAGTGAGCAGATCACTTGAGGTCGCAAGTTCAAGACCAGCCCAGCCAACATGGTGAAACCCCATCTCTACTAAAAATACAAAAATTAGCTGGGCATGGTAGCTCATGCCTGTAATCCCGGCTACTTGCAAGGCTGAGGCAGGAGAATTGCTTGAATCCAGGAGGGTAAGATTGCAGTGAGCCGAGATCATGCCACTGCACTCCAGACTGGGCAACAAAGCAGGTCTCTGACTCAAAAAATAGTAATAATAGTAACAATAATAATAATAATAACATGACCAATTAGCACACAGAGCAAAGCCCAAATACCTTCTTATTACTATTGGGTTATAGTAAAGGCATTAGGACCCAAGGTGGGATAGTGACTCTTGGAAAGGGTACAAAAATCAGTATCAAATAATAGTACAGTAAAAATTCAAACGAAATATTGAATTGTTTCTACAAATAATGAAGTCGAGGCTGAAAACAAGTCTGTTGTATAATGTGGTCTTTATCCTGAGTTACTGGCACAAAGTCTCAAAAACCCTTAAAGTTTCTTTTGTTATGCTAATGTAGTCGCTCAGTGCACACCCCTAGATAGCTTGAGGATGAGGGCTGATCACCATAAAGACCAACATGGTAATTAGAGGGCTAAGACTTTGAGCCAGGCCAATTTCTAAGGAGGGAAGGGAGGCTGGAGATTTTGAATTTTGAGTCCTATCACCCAGTCAATGATTTAATCATCAAGCCCATGTATGCCAAGTCCCAACAAAAACTCTGGACACCAAAGCTACACCAGGGTGGAGTTCCCTGGCTGGTTAACTCATTGATGTGCAGGGAGAGTGACATGCCCTAATTCCATGAAGAGAGGGCACAGGAGCTCTGCATCTCCTCCCAGACCACATCCTGTGTGTCTTCATTTTGCTGGTCCTCCTAATCTGTATTCCAGGATAACAAAACTATAATAATAAACACAGCACTTTCTTGAGTTCTGTCAGTTGTTCTACTGAATTATCAAACCTGAGGATGTTGTGAGGACCTCCAAATTTATAGTCAAGTCAAAAGGTCAGTCAAAAGTGTCGATGGCTTGGGGATACATGAAGTGTAGCTGGCATCTGAAGTAAAGATAGTCCTGTGGAGAAGTGACCCTTTAACAGAGTCTGACACTAACCACCAGGTTAGTGTCAATTGGGAGTGAAACACAATGTCTTCAAGCCAGCAAAGAAGCATTGTAATTAAAAAAAATGTTATGGACATTTCTTTCATGGAAGTTAGGTTATTTGTATAGACAATGATTTAAGGTAGTCTATTAACTCATAAAATGTCCATGGTCTTGTTCTTCAATCAAGGAAATAAAATAACCATAAGGGACTGTCAATTATGTGAGGCCCTTACCTGTTCTGTTCCTATCTACTGCCACTCTTTAAGAGGGTCATCTACAAACTTACCAGCAAGTGACCTGCTCCTATTTAGGAAGGAATTCTGCCTTTTCCAGTAAATGGTAAAATAACATTTCCCACTGATTTTCAGAGGGAAAGGCCAATTTGTGTATCCTTTTCTACTACTATTGGTGGCTATGACTTATCTAATGAAAAGATAGCTATTATCAATCCAAAGATCTTTGACTTCTTGTTAAAAATAAATAATAAACATATTCTTATGCAAAAAATTACACACTTAAAATTTCATGTTGCAAAAGTAACATCATAAGTATTTGTCAAATTATTCCTATAACAAGATAAAATAAAACTTTAGAGAAAAAGATTAAACACCTAGTACAGGATAAGGGAGATATCATAAAAATAAGAGTTCCACAAATTAATTCTTTGAGTTTGTCATCTAATTGAGATGAAATATATATATATATATATATATATATATATATATATATAATGATTCTTGAGCAACAGGTTTTTAACATCAAAAAAGAGTAAAAACTAAGGACATAATGGCTGACTAAATAAACAGAAACCAATAAGGTTACTGAAAAAACATTAAGTTTTCCACTTGATACAAAGATTTGGCATATAATATAGCTCAATTTGTGGTCAGTGAAACCATTATTTCATGTCCAGGAGTTTTCCAGCATGGATTTCCAAATGGATATTTATTGTATCTATGCTTAAGGAAAGTTATTTTTATATTTAAATTTGATGCAACTTCCCTTAAGAATTCTAAGGCAACATCTTCACCTATAACTTGCTGGTAAATTTGCAGTATCTACATACAACCTCTGCTCACATCTCACATTTTCATATGCCTGAACATTATTACTACTAATTTCAGAATATATTAAGAGAAATTTCGGAAGCTCTCTAGAATGTTTACAAAAGAATGGAAACAGGTTCGGGAATCAAGGTCCAAGAGGATTAGGCCTCTTGAGAGAATAAGTTATACAGGTGTTAACAAAAATGAAGAATCGTGAAGAAATAGGCTGACACAATGAAACAGAAGAAATCATTAAAACTAACAAAAGTAAATGAAAAACAACTAAAATCTATCCAAGAATGTAATACAGAATCACAAAACGATTTCAACTTCCTAAAAGTCGTAAACCATAATAGAACTTATCAAACAGTTCTTATGAAAGTGCTTCTAAAACACTGAGAACTTCATGAAGTCTCAAACAAAAACTGCTTCTTACAGTAAACATGGATTACTTTGAAGAAAAATGAAGTCATTGATAGCAATACAAAATGTGGGAAAGCTGAAAACTAAAGGGATTTTAAAAGGGGCTATAAAGATATTTCTAATATTTGGTCATAAAACAATACATTGCATACATAAAAGTCTGAGGAAGAGAAAAATAATCATTTCTTTTGTTAATTAGTATTAAGTCAATGTACGATTGCAAAGATCAAAAGTGTAGCACTCACAAGAGGCAGGAATTCTTGACCTGAAAGCAGATAGACTATCCTGAGGCAGAAATCTAGAGGTCATTTGCCCAACAGCAAATGAAACAAGACAAACAATATTAAAACAACTGAAAGCTTATTTAATTTTTAAAAAGATTGTAAAAGAAACCATTTATACCAAATTTAAAGGAAAGAAGAGAGATTACGTATTAATCCATCTATCATAAATACTAGCAGAAATTTGCCAGTGTTAAGACTGTACACACAAACATTCTAAGGGTCAGTATTCTGGATCTGGCAAACAGGATGACATGCTTACTTTTTGTGGTGTTACATCTAAAGTTTACATTGTAAATTCACTAAATAAGCTATTTTGAGGATTTCTTTTCCCTAAAAGACAACTTCGATAATCTCACATATCTCAAAATGTTAACAAAGCAAATACCAGAAAATTCTTATTCCCAGGAGAAAAGGAAACTAAGACAATAAATGTTTTCCACATGTTATCTACTGTTGTAAGACAGCAAACATCAATAAGGTAAGCTTCTTACCATAAAGTTATGTTAGGTGATTTTCTTGGGGGTAATTTCTTTCTCTTTGGATAACTACAAAAAGGCTGTAGTTTACGCACAGGGAAATATTCAAGAGACTATATACTAACCTGGCCCAGTCCAGGCATACCTCCTCCAAGTCTAAGAAGTCTGTCCATATTTCTAGAAAACAGAAACAAAGAAAAAACGTTCCTAAGCACAAAAGTGTTTACTCAATTGCTATCTATATAATTCACCTTCAGTCACTCAGTATGTCAAAAATATTGGTGGTAATTACAACACAACATCAGACTTCCTGTTAATTAACACCACATATTAATTCAAAAAGCTGTCTTCTATGCTAATTAACAGACCTTATTTTACTGCTTTGGTTTTGGGTTATCCCCAGTTTTAAAGACAAGCCATCTTAGCATACTTTCAAAACTTTGCTATCATTAAGTTAATTATATTTTCTTATTGTTATCTAATAAAGTACCTGAATGCAGAAAAATTGCCTGAAATGCTTATCATATGTATGATTGAATTTCCTTCAATTTGTCCAGAGTGTACAAATAAAAATCCTCACTTTTAAATTAAATTTTAACATACTCATTAGTAAGTTCTGTGCTAATTAACTTACAGCTTGTCAGTTATCATCAAAACTACATGTGAAAGACATTGTGAGCAGATTATGGATCTCTGAATTAGCATCAAAGGCTTTTAAAAACTGAACTCATTACACTAAAAGAAATACTATAGTGTAAACATTAAATGTATTAAGATAGTGTTCTAGAACCTACACAGATATTTTGTGTTATTTCAGATGTTGTAGAGATATACACCTTTTTCACTAAGGAAATTCACTGGGCTTCTCAATTATAATTTTGGAATTAACCAATACAAAGTAGATTTATTATATCAATCTGATTTAGTTTTAAGGTTTAGAGTAACTACAGAAGATATTCTTATAAGCTTGAAAACATCACAGAAGAAATTAATACTATCAAGTGTACTTACATGGCCTCAAATAACAAAAAGAAGTAACCAAATTTTAAAAATTAATAGCAGTACAACTAAGTAATTTAAAAATGACAATAAAGGATTTTTTCTACTTGAAAATTGCTATGTTCTAAATTTCTCTTCTTCCTAAGTGTATACTTTAGAAAATGGTATTACTACAAATTATATTCCAAATTAAATGTTAACAGATTAACATTATTTTACTAGTTAGAATTGCTATATAAACTAAAACTCAATAACATACTTAGCCTTATTACATTACCCTCCCATCCCCAATCATGTTTGTTGAATATTGGTAACAATTTAACAATGTTAATATTGCAAACTTGATTCAAGTTCACATATGGAAAAAAACTTTATTCAAGTGCACATACAGAAAAGAACACAAATGGAATCTTCAAAACGAACACATCCATGAACCTAGTTCAAGAAACAGAACATTATTGGCACCTCAGAAACACCACCCAAGCCTGACTTCCAGTCTATTCCACCCTGCAAACGTAAAATTCAACTTTCAACAACATAGATTAGTTCTGTTCTTTTTGAATTTTACGTAAATGAAATAATATATTTTTTCATGTCTGGCTTCTTTCATGTAACATGTTTATGAGATTCACAATTTTAAAAATTCATTTTTTAAAATGAAAATGCACATAAAATGTGCAGACAAAATTTCCAGTTTACAATCTTAACTCATCCTCCTAATAGCAACATTTACAAATGAAATCTCCATCAAATCCTTACTGAAACTCTTCAACTCAAATATGGCATTCAACACACAGCACTTTTAAATGCCTAAGAACGGGGAGGGGCGGAATCCTGTATATTTTATAGTATTCAATCATTTCTCTAGGATATATCATCCAAAAAAATTTCTTTTGGACCATTTCAAGCTTACAAACTTAAAGAACCAACAGAAAAAACAAACAACATACAATATATATTAGTAAACATATATTCTAGGCCCAAACTGATTCCCAGCTGTATTCAGTTTATCTAGCCCTCTGTTTTGTTTCTGATGACTTTACACAGACTCCAGATGCTGTGAATATACATGAGTGATGCAAGGAGCAGAGAAAGAAAATCTGGCAGATCAAATTTGTTTCTGTAGCAAAATTAGATGTCTCAGCAAAGAGGAAATATATTTAAAAATTAAAACACTTAAGATAACTAGATTTAATAAAAATAATTTAGGAATTAAGTATATTGATACACATTCCAAATCACACCACTTTTCAAAATCTGGTTATCTATCACACATATTCATAATTTGACCTCTGTTAAAAGTAATACATTTTCATACTACCTCTCTATCCATCCCTAAAAGAATAATTAAAAGTAAAATACATTTTAAACCTTACCTGGTCAGTAACTACAACTCTTAAGGTGTTAACTTTCAATTTGTTGAATTTGACAAATTGCTTCTTAAAGAAAGCTCTTGCTAATTCTGGCAGGTACAATTTCCCCAAGTATATTTTTTTCTCTCCTATAAAAGGTAAACAAAATATGATATAATTATTTTGATAATTTAAGGGGGATAACTTTATACCAAAACCTCTAAAAGAATCAAAATTCCTAAAAATGAAGTAGAAATTAAAACTCTTTTTAAATAATCATTTCCTGAGAGTTGAATGATCTACCTTACTAGGAGCTACAAAGCATAGTGATTAACCCTGTAACCAAATTTTATCTGTATGTTTCTTTCATAAACACTAACTTTGAAGAGACATTTCAAAACTTTTAGTCTTTGCAGGCATCTTCCAAAGAACAAAATAGACTAGGCGTGGTGGCTTACACCTGTAATCCCAGCACTTTGGGAGACCAGCCTGGCCAACATGGTGAAACCCGATCTCTACTAAAAACAAAAAATTTAGCCAGGCGTGGTGGTGGGCACCTGTAATCTCAGCTACTTGGGAGGCTGAAGCAGGAGAATCGCTTGAACCTGAGAGGCAGAGGTTACAGTGAGCCAAGAACGTGCCATCGCACTCCAGCCTGGGCAACAAGAATGAAACTCCGTCTCAAAAAATAAATAAATAAACAAACAAACAAACAAAATTAAAATTTACTTCTATTTTTAAATAGAACAATTCATTCTATCATGCAATTACTATATAGGTTAACTATATTATTATTAATCTATCAAATATTATGGAATGTTAATGGTTTTCTTATACGCTGAAAATTTGCTATTTTATCATACTAGGAAGTATTAGTTCATCGTTTCTTAATCAATTATTCCCAACTACGTCAAAAAAGACTAAAATGACAAGAATTGCCTAAAATAATGCAATAGTGAAAAAAATTACAGTTACTGCATCATCCTTTGAGTCTTACTGTGTTGCCCAAAGCACTGATCCATCCCTCAAAAAGACATAGAACACTAGAGACTTCATCTTTGTAGTCTTTTTTTTTCAGTCTTCATTTAGCACAGTTGAGAAATCAGAATTTTTCATTTTAACAAGGACAAAAGGAAGAAAAGTGACAAAGTACATGTTTTACATTATTACAAAATCAAAGCTAATGCGAAGGAGACAGATTATAGCAGTCTAGTCTCTAATGATGAGAATAAAATTGATGGTACAAGCCAGGATTTACTAACTTCAGTACTACTGATATTCAGAACCAGATAATTTGTTGTCGCTGGTGAGGCTGTTTTGGGCATTACAAGATGTTGAACATCATCCCTAAGCTCCACTAGATAACAGCAGCACCTATCCAGTTGCGACAATCAAAAATGTCTCCAGACAAGCTTTACTGCTGTTGACTTTAAAAAAAAAAAAAAAAAAAAAAAGGGCCAGGTATGGTGCCTCACGCCTATAATCCCAGCACTTTGGGAGGCTGAGATGGGTGGATCAGGAGGTCAAGAGATCGAGATCATCCTGGTCAACATGGTGAAACCTTGTCTCTACTAAAAATACAAAAATTAGCTGGGCATGGTGGTGCACACCTGTAGTCCCAGCTACTCGGGAGGCTGAGGTAGGAGAATTACTTGAACCCAGGAGACGGAGGTTGCGGTAAGCCGAGATCACAGCATTACACTCCAGCCTGGGTAACAAAAGCGAAACTCCGTCTCAAAAAAAAAAAAAAAGAAAAAGAAAAAAAAAATGTCTCCAAACTTTACCAAATATCCCCTGGGGACAAATGTTTGGAGATGTTTTTGATTGTCTCAAAAATCACTCTGAATTGGGAACCACTGACATAAACAAAATCTCAGACTATCTATCTCGAGATGATATCTTAGATTAATTTTCTGAAAATTAAGAACCAATAAGTGCTGGAAGCAGTTTGGCAGTTCCTCAAAAAGTTAAACATAGAATTAGCATTTGATCCAGCAACTCCACTCATAGGTATATACCCATAAAACTGAAAACAAATACTCAGAGTAAGCTTATATATGCACATGTTTACACCATCACTATTCACAATAGCCAAAAGGTAGAAACAGTCCAAATGTCCACCAAAGAATGAATGAACAAATTCTACTATATACACATAAGGGCATACTGTAATATGAAATACTGTTCAGATATAAAAAGGAATAAAGAACTATTGCACATGTTACAAGTTGGCTGAACCTCAAAATATCACACTCTGTAAAATAAGCCAGGCACAAAAGGTCACATGCTATGTGATTCCATGTATATGAACTATCCAATAAATCCATAGAGACAGAATGCAGACTGGTAGTTATCAGCGGGTGGGGAAGGGAGGAAAGTGGAGAAACAGCTAAATGGCTAAGAGACTTTTTACTTTGGAATGACAGAAATGTTCTGGAACTAAATTGAGGTGGTAATAGCACACTGTGAATGGATTAAATGATACTAAACTGTTCACTTTAAAACGGCTAGTTTTATATTATGTTAATTTCCTCTCAATAGATGAGTTGTTTAAAGGGTCAATAAGTAAACAATATATTTCTAAAACCAAAAAAGTTACATTCTTATTCACTTACTTATTCAACAAGAAAGGACTTCAACACATAAAATTTTGCAATAAGAATCTGTTTTCTAAAGAGACGTGTGACATATTTTTTCATGTTTTATGATGTTGATATAGTTCACACATGAAAAAAGGCTAAAGTGTACACAAACATGAATAAAAGGAAATGAATAATGTAGAAATTGTAAAAATCACTGGACTAATTCTAAATGGTGCCTATAAATCTAAAAATAAAAACGTTTTTCAGTTATGAAGCAAAGATGGCCCTCCTACTGTCATCAGCACCCCCATCCTAAGCATGGCTACATGTTGGAAGCCAAAATGTAGCCATGGATCTGTGGAAACACAGATCCTTTTTCCTCATATAGTTTGCCACTTATTGGGTTTCAAAATTCAGGGCATATTTCACAGTACTAAAATCACATTGGAGATAGGGACCTGCATTTCGCAGAATTTAGCAGAAAGATTCACAAAGTGAATGTGTATGCTTAACATAAAAGAGAATACTTTCAATTCTAGAAATAAAAGCAATAAAAAGGTCGATGGATCTAAACCAAGTTTTTACAGCTATCAAAAAGCAGAAGACTCAAAAGCTCATTCATGATAGATATAATTAACTTTATGGAAAATGTTATCAGACAATATGAATAAAGTGTTTATACCTAAGATAATGTCATACATACAGTAATATTTAGAATCCTAATTGGCAAAAACAGTACAATAAAGGTATCAGTACTTTCAAAGGTTGATGACTTTCCACTTTTTCTTTCTCTCTTGACGTCTGACTTGAACCTGATATTGTTAGATCATGTCCATGTTGAATTTAAAATAAATCAATTTTTGGTCTGATGTGGTGGCTCACACCTATAATCCCAGCACTTTGGGAAGCCAAGACGGGCAGATCACTTGAGGTCAGGAGTTCGAGACCAGCCTGGCCAATATGGCAAAACCCCATGTCTACTAAAAATACAAAAATTGGCTGGATGTGGCAGGTGCCTGTGATCCCAGCTACTCAAGAGATTGAGAATCACTTGAATCCAGAAGGTGGAGGTTCCAGTGAGCCAAGATGGAGCCACCGCACTCCAGCCTGGGTCACAGAACGAGAATCTGTCTCAAAAAAAAAAAAAAAACGTTTCAGTCTGATGCTAAATCCTTTTAAAGCTACTCTATATTTGTTATCTCACTGTATATCTAATTCCTCTGTTTTCTGGTCAGTGCAAAGTAATTAAAACTTCATATACTCACTGTCTTAAAAACTTTTTTCAAGTGGACGATCTTGAGTGAGTCAACATTACACTTAATTATAAAACAGGATTTTGAAAGCAAGATTTCCGAAACTTAGAAGACTGAGAATGGTAGCTGGGTGAGGTGGCTCACGCCTGTAATCCCAGTACTTTGGGAGGCCAAGGCAGGTGGATCACCTGAGGTCAAGAGTTTGAGACCAGTCTGGCCAACATGATGAAACCTCATCTCTACTGAAAATATATAAATTAGCTGGGCATGAGGGCAGGCACCTATAAGCCCAGCTAGGCAGGCTAAGGAAAGGAGAATTGCTTGAACCCAGAAGGCAAAGGCTACAGCGAGCCAAGATAGTGCCACTGCACTCCAGCCTGGGCAATAGAGCAAGGCTTAGTCTCAAAAAGAAAAAAAAGGAAGAGTGAAAATGGACTCATCATAAATAATCTATTATGGAGTCTCCTAATTTCAGCATTCAAGTAAAACATCTGAGTACAGTCATCCCTTTGTACCTGTGGGGAATTGGTTCTAGGATACCTAAATCATGGAAACAAAGTTTCTGATACAAAACAGCATAGTACCCTATTTGCATATAACCTATGCAACATCCTCTTATATGCTTTAAAATTCATTTTTGGATTACTTATAATAATACAATACAAATATGATACAAATAGTTATACTATACTGTTTAGGAAATAACAAAAAGAAAAATGTCTACACATGTTCAATATAAATGCAACTTCTTTTTTTTTCTTTTTTGAGACAGAGTCTCACTCTGTTGCCCAGGCTGGAGTGCAGTGGCATGACTCACTGCAACCTATGCCTCCAAGGTTGAAGCTATTCTCCTGCCTCAGCCTCCCCAGTAGATGGGATTACAGGCGCATGCTACCGTGACCAGCTAATTTTTGTATTTTTCAATTTTTAGTAGAGATGGCGTTTAGCCATGTTGGCCAGGCTGGTCTCAAACTCCTGACCTCAGGTGACCCGCCTGCCTTGGCCTCCTAAAATGCTGGGATTACAGGCATGAGCCACCGTGCCTGGCCTAGATGCAACTTTTTTCCAAATTATTTCAGTGTATGGTTGGTTGAATCTACAGATGCAGGACCCACAGATATGGAGGGATGGTTAAACTATTTTGTATACTCAAGAAATTTAGCAGCATGCACTGCCAGAATTTATAATCTATTGGGACAGGTGGGTAGAAGGAGCTTAACATAAACCCATAAAAAATACGTAAAGTGAAAGGACAGCAGTGTAGAGTGGTAAAGGCTCTCGAACTAGCTGACCTCAATTTGAACGCTGGCTTACCACCTACTCACTATATGACACTAATTTTTACCTTCTTCTAGACTCTTGACCTCATTTATAAAATGGGAATAAAACCTACTTTGCAAGTCTCTTGTAAAAGTAAGTCCAAAGCGGCCAGCCGCGGTAGCTCCCGCCTGTAATCCCAGCACTTCGGTAGGCCAAGGTGGGCAGGTAGTCTGAGGTCAGGAGTTTGAGACCAGCCTGGCCAACATGGTGAAACCCCGTCTCTACTAAAAATACAAAAATTAGCTGGGCATGGTAGCAGGGGCCTGTAATCCCAGCTACTGGGGAGGCTGAGGCAGGAGAATTGCTTAAACCTGGAAGGCGAAGGTTGCAATGAGCCCAGATCCCACCATTGCATTCCAGCCTGGGTGACAAGAGCGAGACTTCAGCTCAAAAAAAAAAAAAAAAGTCCAAAGCAACTTAAACACCTGGAACATCCAAGGTACTCAATAAATGTTGCCATTACTATTATTATCATTATAATTATCATTTTAGAACCAGAAGAGATTATTTAATGCAGTTCTCCCATTTCGCAAATAAGGTCACCAAAGCATCACACACAAAACGGAATATGAAATGTCAAAATGAGTGCAACAAACAGGACATATGACAAGTTTGTGAGCAATAAATCACATGGATATTCAGGCAAGGGTTTCACAGGTGGACACTGAATTATTACATGAACATTATTATAAAACTGAAAATTAAAAAAGCACAATTGCTTCTTGTCACTGAAATAAGAGAAATAGATTAATTATCTCTTCCACTTCTAAAATGACCATAACAATAACAACAGCAATAATAACATTTACTGTTTTTTATATATATGGTTCACAAACTACATACTAATAAGCATATAGTTTATATGGCCAGTATAAAAATAAGATGAACCTGTCAAAGAGATTAAAATCCAGCTATTTAATTAAAATGGCAATATATTATTTACCAAGCACTTGAGGCAGAAAAAAAACCTCCCAAAGTCAACAGGTGAAGCTTCAACGAAAGATCACGACTTGAAAACTTTCTTCCCTTGGCAAGATTTAGGGACAAATTCAAGACAACATTCAGGCTTTTCATTAATTAGCACTTCACTAAACACACCTTCACTGTAGTTAATTCAGAACCAATACATATCTTAACTTCTAAACTTGAAACGAGTCAGTTGGTAGCCTTATGTGACAGGAAGACCATCATTATATTAATCATCTCCACAAAAACTGTGTTCATTTTTTTGTTATTTCAACAGTATCAGTGCATGCCTTGCTGCTTTTCTCAAACACATTAAGTCAGCAGCACTAAAAACATACTTGTGACCAGTGAAATAAAATCGTTTTCCCACTAAAACTCTATGCTAATTTTTAAACCCTCTCCCCTGCCTTTACCATAAAATTTTTATCAACTTTTGGTTACCATTTATCTTTTCGAAAATTTTTCGTTCAGTAACTAAGTTTATAGACTCGAAAAGTTTACATGCTTTTTCTTTTGACAGACACAGAGCTATATCTCCAGGAAAATTAAGTTTCAAGATATAACATGAGATAGCAGATTTCTGCTTTACTGAAAACAGGAAATGTAATCAATTCACCAACAATTATTCAATTAGGACAATATTGAAAGTAAGTTAACAGGCAGAGCAGCACACTTTGTTTTGAAAATATTCAAGGTCACAAACCAGTGTATCTGCAAGACTTATTTTTTTGGAGGGAGTTGAAAACCTAACGCTAACAGAAAAAGGCTTACAGGAAGGACAAGTGATCAAACAAACGTATTCATTAATTAATTCTCTCTCTCTCTCTCTCTCTCTCTCTCTCTCTCTCTCTCTCTCTCTCGATTCCGCTTTGAAGTTTTTCAAGACAGGAACAACTATGGATGAGCGCAGATAAACAGGCCATAAACAAGAATTCTCTCTATATAGGGTGTAGAGGTTCCCATGATGTGAATTCGGCCAAACTGAAAAGAATGGAGAAAAGAGACAACATCCAGACCTGACCCTGCCAGAGACCCCCGACAGCAGGCGAAGAGTATGAAGGAGTCTGGGCTCCTCCCTCGCGGCCCAGGCCTCCAGTGGCAACTCAGCTGGGCAACGTGACTCAGGAAAGCACTGGGCTGGCGGCGGCCTAGCACGGCTGCCTCCCCGGACCTCCCAGGCCTGCTTTCTGGGTCTTACCTGACAGCGGGCGGGAGCCGGATGCCGCGATCTGGACCCTTCTCTTGCCTCTGCGGTGACGTGAAGACAGAAGCAACAGCAGCAGCGGCGCAGACCCGACCCGGCTCTGACTCCGCGAACCCGCGATGAATCAGCCCGATTCCATTCAAAAGAGTTGCCCGGACCTCCGCCGCGAAGTACTTCCGGGTTCACTGATCTGCTTCGGCTTCCGTTCCCCGACGGCCAATTGGAGAAGACTGGGAGTCAGGCGGATGTCCTAGAGGAGCTCTCGGGACAGACGGTGCGGGCCGCCGGCCGTCTCCTGTGTTTGCTTGATTGTGAGGCGTAAGTTAGAGCGCGGATCGCTCGCGCCCCGCGACGCCTCCTTTTTCTCTCTCCACGTCTGAGCTCTCCGGCCACCGCAGAGATGTGGGACGGCGGCACATCCAGCCCGGGAGGCGACTGGCTAGGAAATGAAACTGCTAGTATTGCGAAACCCAGATCCCCTTTCGTTTTGGTGTTCACTACTCTTACGGCCCTCCTCAAAAACTAAAAGGTTCGTTTGAACTAGATTTAACTTTGTTATCTGAGAAGAAAATTTTTAAAAACAGTGGGGATGGTGTGATTAGACGGGGTCGGTAAGACGCTCTTTTCCGTAAGCCCGCTTTATCCCACCTCTTGTCATTGCTTTGCAAGGATTGGATTTCAAGTAAAACGAATGTTTCCCAAATGTTCAAACCACCTATTTTAAGCCGAGTTTAGCTTACGGTGTTTAAAGAATCGTTTATTCACATTTCTCCATGTAATTATCAGCAGTCACGCTTAACTCATGATCTACTTTGTGCTAGGTTTTCAAAAAGCAAAATTGCACAGGATATGACTTGACAAGTTAATGTCACATTCTAGGTCTAGGTACATCTGTTTAAGGCAGCTTGTGCCACATTCCTCTCCCTTTCTCAAATATATTCCAAATAACAACCGTCTTTAAAGCATTCCTAAATCAAGAATGGCGAGAATGGACAGAGGGTGAGGAAAGATTACAGCTCCTGGATCCAAACTGTGATTTGAGTAGCACAATTGCATTGGATTTTTCCTTTAAGATATTCATATCTCTAAAACCACGAAAATTATTTTACTCACAAGTAATATTTTGATCCACATCTTTATGCTTCCCCCCCAAAACCTGTGCCTCTCTATTCCCTTTTTTTGGGGGGAGGGGGGTGAATAACCCCATCCTCCAAATAATTTTCATAATCACCAAACTTAAGAGTATAAACACTCGCCTCTTTTTCACCTCTCCCCACTGGCTTCCCAATTAACCACTGTAGAAACTATAAAATGTATAATCTCCATAACAGTTTTTCCAATCCATCACTTCCCTTTCTAAATACTCCCATTTTGGCCTTAACTCAGACCTTCGTCACTTATTTTTTATTTTATATTATGTGTGTATTTTTGAATTAGGGTCTTGCTTTGTCACTGAGGCTGGAGTGCGGTGACACCATGTCCGCTCACTGCAACCTCCTCCTCCCTGTGCTCAAGCAGCTCTCCCACTTTAGCCTCCCAAGTAGCTAGGACTACAGGTGCTTACCACCATGCCCAGCTAATTTTTATTTGTTTATTTATTTTTTTAATAGAGACAGAATTTCACCATGTTCCCCTGGCTACATTTTTAAAATGTTCTTTGATCTTTCTGCCTTCACTCTGCTCCCTTTCAATCCATTTTCCATCTCATTGGCAAAACAGTTTTGTACTGTACATAGTCATGCTCCTTCTTTACTTAAAATTCCACTAGTGGCTCCCGGTAACATTCATTATAAAGGTCAAAAAAACCCTTAAACTTTTTAGAGCACCTTTTGCTCCAGCCATATTAAAATATTTTGCTGGGGAATAAGATGTTCATAGGGCTTTGAAAAACTCTTAACATATTCCTGAGACTGTAGAAGGTGCTTACGATGTGCACATACCTAGGGTCATGTGAACACTCAAGAAAAGCCTGAGAAGGCCCTGAGCTCTAATCTCTGGCTGACCTTGAGGCACTACAGAAGCATCTGAGCTCTAACCTCTCACTGACCTTGAGGTACTACAGAAGCAAACAGTGAAGGCTAGGGCTGAATTATTTGGTTGGTTGGTGCCAGAGTAATTGTGGTTTTGTAATTTCAATGCAATTACCTAATATAAAGTACTTGGCTGATTGTTGAAGGTATCTCTCAACATAGATGCTAAACCCCTCTGGAAAGACTGGGAGATTTTTTTGGTTGAAGATGTTTAAGGAAACCTGTCTCTCTAATCATTAGCTGACCACTAAGCTAACTGAGCAGAAACCTGAGTGGTCACACAAAATAAAAATTGCAGACTCTAAAGAAAGAGTTCATAAGCTAGGTGCAATGGCACACATGTGTAGTCCCAGCTACTCAGGAAACCAAGGCCAGAGGATCCCTTGAGTCACCAACTCAGACCTTGTCTCTAAAAAGAGAAAAAAGAATGAGTTCAGAAAAGTCACTAAACCAACAACTACTACAACAAACAGAAACAACAATGAATCTTGGAGAGCAGGTAGAATCTGATTTCCAGAGTTGCACATTAATAGTATTTAAAATGTTCAGTTTTCAAAATAGTTATGAAACATGCAAAGAAAGAAGAATGTATGGCCCATACACAGGATAACAATCAATGGAACCTAACCCTGAGGAAGCCTGCATACTGGACTTAGTAAATAAAAAGGCTTTAAATTTTTTCAATGTATTAAAAAGCTAATGGAAATCATATCTAAAGAACTAGAGGAAAATATGAGATGTTTCATCAAATAATTGATAAAGATCAATTATTTTTTAAAACCCAAATAATTCTGGAGTTAAAATTATAATATGCCAGGCTGGGTTTGGTGACTTACGCTTGTAATTCCAGCACTTTGGGAGGCCGAGGCAGGTGGATCACCTGAGGCTGGGAGTTTGAGACCAGCCTGACCAACATGGATAAACCCCTTTTAATCTCTACTAAAAATCTGAAATTAGCTGGGCATGGTGGTTCATGCCTATAATCCCAGCTACTTGGGAGGCTGAGGCAGGAGAATCACTTGACCCTGGGAGGCAGAGGTTGCAGTGAGCCAAGATTTGCACTCCAGCCTGGGCAACAAGAGCAAAACTGCATCTCAAAACAAAGTATAATATGCCATAACAAACAAATTTTTTTTTAATTTTTAAAAATAAAAATAGCAAAAAAATAAAGTGAAAAGTTTACTAGAGAGGCTCAATCCCAGATTTGAGCAGGGAGAAAAAAAAATAAGCAAACTTCAAGTTTGTTGAAATTATTGTTGAAGTTTGTTGAAATTCAGTTGAAATTATGTAGTCTGGGGAACAGATTGAAAAGAGAAAGATGAAACATGAACAAAGCCTCAGAGACCTGTGGGACACAAACATACCAACATGTGCATATGTGAGTTTCAGAAAGAGAGGTGGAAAAAGAAAAGGGCAGACATAATACTTGAATAAAGAATAGCCAGGCAGGGCACAGTGGCTCACGCCTGTAATCCCAGCACTTTGGGAAGACCAGGCAGGTGGGTCACCTGAGGTCAAGGGTTTGAGACCAGCCTGGCCAACGTGGTGAAACCCTGTCTATACTAAAAATACAAAAATTAGCCGGGTGTGGTAGTGCGTGCCTGTAATCCCAACTACTCGGGAGGAGGGAGGAGAATCACTTGAACATGGGAGGCAGAGGTTGCAGTGAGCTGAGATTGTGCCATTGCACTCCAACCTGGGCAACAGAGCAAGACTGTATCTCAAAAAAAAAAAAAAAAAAAAAAAAAAGAATGACCAAAAACTCCCTAAATTTAATGAGAAATACTTACCTACACATCCAAGAAGCTCAACAAATGCCAAGTACCATAAACAAATTAATTTATACCTCAACACATTTTAATTAACCAATCAAAAGTCAAAAGTCAAGAGAAACTCTTGAAAGTGGCAAGAGAGAAGCCACTCATCACATAATCCTCCATAAGATTTACAGTTGATGCCATAAAAGTCAAAAAGCAGTGGTATTATATATTCAAAGTGCTGAAAGAAAAAAATCAGCAAGTAAGAATTTTACCTCTAGCAAAACTATCCTTCAAAAATGAAGGAGGTATTAATACTTTCCAAAAATGTATGTGTATACAAAGACAGAATTTGTTGCTAGGACATTTTCCTTGCAAGAAATACTACAGAGAGTCCTTCAGAATTAAATTGACACTAGATGGTAATTTAAGTCCACATGAAGGACTAATAACACATCTAGAAGTAACTACATAAGTAAAAATAAAAGTCTAAATTTTTTTTTATTTGTAACTCTTTTTCTAATTGATTTAAAAGACAACTGCATAGAGCAATAATTATAAGACTTTATGGGCTTATTGTAAGATATTAATATGACAGTAACAGAAGGGAGAGGAAGGAGGGAAAGAATAATGGAGGAATGAAGCCATATAGTAGCAAGTTTTTGTGTTCTATTGAAATAAAGTTGTTATTAATCCAAACTAGATTGTTATAACTTGTTAATTATAATCCCCAGAACAACTGCTAAGAAAATGCTTTTAAAATATATGAATAAAGGACAAGGAAATTAAAATGGCACACTAGAAAATATATACCACACAACAAAGGGCTGCAGTAATTAAGAAATGGAGGAATAAAAAAGACACAGGACATAAAACAAATAGTAAAATGGCCAACATAAATCCTACCTTATCAGTGTCAACAATCCACTTCAAAGGATTTTCCTTGAAAAAGAAAAAGGTTGGGCATAGTGGCTCACACCTCAAATCACAGCACTTTGGGAGGCCAAGGCTGGAGGATTGCTTGAGTCCAGGAGTTCAAGGCGAGCCTGGGCAACATTGCAAAACTCTGTCTCTACTAAAAACAACAGCAAATTAGCTGTATATGGTGGCACCTGCGTATAGTCCCAGCTGCTCAGGCAGCTGAGGTAGGAGGATCACTTGAGCCCAGGAGGTAAATAAACTCTGCAGTGAGCCCTGATCATGCCATTGCACTCCCAGCCTTGGTGACACAGTGAAATCCTGTCTCAAGAAAGGATAAAAAAAAGATACTTTATTCCTTTGAACAGTTTGCACACCAAAGCAATGCAGTCTTTTGTACCAAACAAAAATGTGGTCCAAGAAAACAGAAAGATTGTCTGCTTTAGAGAAAGTTCCCACCCAGGTTCCCCCTCTAGTCTGCTATGCAAATGAGGAATGACAGCTTGTTTAGTTTTCATTGGTTGATGCATGTCACAGTCTATCAGTTAGGTCCCTGTAGTGAAATGAGACTTTCTTGCAGTTGTTGACTGAGTCAGTGTAAACAGGAACAGATAGCTATGAATGACCCAAATTCTCATAAGCTTGTACTTTCTCTCGGAACGTAGAGTACATACGTTTGTGACCTCTAGTCAGCAAATGGCTGCTTGGCTCCATTTTGAAGTTAGGACCAATTAGTCACTCAGAATCCATCTTGAAGGATTAGCTCTTTCAGGATTCACATTAGTCAATATATTAAATATAAATGGAATAGAAACTCCAATTAAAAGGCAGAATTGGCAGAATAAGCTAAA